TTGCTGGTTTGATCAAGTTTGAATTATGAAATAGCTGGGCCGCTTTTGTCAGAAGTCAACTGAATAGTTTGCCAAATTGACAGCGTTTTCATTCATGTTTTGATTAAAGGTCTGACGGTGACATACGGTGACAGCTGTTGGAAAGTGGTTCTCTTTTGCAAAGGCAGACAGTGGGAGTTGATTCGAACGACTTTTGATTTGCCAAGAGCCTCAGTCGTACGGATTGCTGTCGCTTGCATGTATTGTCCATGAGCTCAACACTATCCGAACCAACTTTGCAGCGCTATGTCTGGCTTGGTCCCAAGGCGACACAGGACATTGGGCTGATGGCATATGGCATTGGCATGGCACTGATATGGCATCGATGCCTTGCGTTTTGGGCGTTTCCAGGTGGTTGATATTTAAGTATTGAACGGCATTAGAACGTATTGGAACGTACTAGAATGTGCGTTAGAATGTATTAGATTTGTAGTAGCTTACAGATACGAACAGAATCTTCGGGTTCTCTACAAATTGGCAGCTCCAAGCTGCAGGACGGGCAGTCAGATCAAGGACAAGTGGTACCTTGGCCGTGATTGTTAAAGATCTTCCAACAGATACACTGATCTGGTTGAAAGCCGTTAAACATGACAATTCCTGTATGTTTTACTGGATATTTATTTGTTTCATGCCAACAAGTGCAAACAAATCCATCCACTGTCATGTCACCATGTCACATCCATGTCACATCTTTCAAGTACTGACATTCATGTGCTGAGGCGTCAGCTGCACGAGCGTGGACTTGTGCAGATCCCTCAGCTGTTGCTGACACGGAACTGGTGGCAGTGCATTGAGAACGCCACAAAAAACTTTCAGAAATCATGTTGGTATCAGTGATGAGGAAAGAAGATGAGGAGTAGAGCCTTCCTCAACGGCTGGGGCCACTGGAGGTACTGCATGTGTGTGTGTGTGGACGTCCAAGCCATCAAAGTTGCTTCCATGAAAATGGACAGCAATATCTGAGACTTTTGTTCAGAAAATGTGGACTAGGTAAGTAGTTGGAAGCAGTGCAACTGCAGACATCAGTTGAACATTTGCCAGAGCATGCACTTCACTGTTTCCCGTGTCAGCAACCCTGCAGGGTTTCAGGGGCAGACTCTGAGGGGGGCCTTTGCTGTCTTGCTTCTCAATTCTTCAGTGTGATGTGAACACTGACATTGTACAAAACCTTGGGATAAAGCTGATGTTTGAACGGTTTGAAGGTGGGATGACTGTCAAGGTTGAATGATATTGGCCTAAGGCTCGTGGTCTTGGAATTCCGACAATCAAGATCCCATGACAGATATGACAGTGCCATACAGTGCCTCCTTCAAAACCTGCTGGGTTTGGGCATTCCGCTTCCCCAACCCCAAGCTGCAGACTGTCACCTCGGGCAAGCTGAGGGGACAGCTGCGGACCTAGGGACCTAGAAAGGATCTGCCAGATCCAAAAGAAATCGAGTTGGACCATGTTGGACCGGTTGCACCACATTGATCAGGATCTATGTGGACACTTCAAGATACTTCAAGGCCAATTTGTGAATAATATGCAAGATATATGCAAGATATATGCAAGATATGCAGGTGAACTGAAAAGGACACTTTGAGCAGTGGAAATTTCTGAAGCTGCTCTCGCGGCTTTTGGCTTCAGCTTTACACCTTTGCCAAGACTTTTTCGGCTACCATGGAATGTTTTTTGGCAGAATGCTAGAGATTTGATGTCTTTGAGATTGTTGGAATGCATTGGAAGATGAAAAAAATCGTACGTGTCACCTTTGGGGTCCAGCCTCGTTGAATGATCCTTGCCAAATAGGCATCCAGTGCCAACCAATATGTCTACGAACCTCATGTCACATTGAACAAATTTGAAGAATCTCAATCAATTTCAATCAATATTGATCTAACATGATCTAACCATGCTCGATCCACATCCTGACATTCTCCAAGGCTTGAATCCAGAGGCCACTGTGTAACTTGGCATGTTCGAGTTCACTCAGTTCAGTCATGCGATACGATGTGAACCGGGATGAATCCTGCAAAGAGGATCAAAGAGGATCAAAGAGGCATATTACTGGTAGAACTGCCACTTTTGGCAATCCGCCGAGGGAGGAATGCAACCTCTCCGAGATGATCGGATATCTGGCGCGTCGCTCAGATGTTGCCTTTGCCTAGCTATCCCTTCTTCGCAAAATACGGTACGAATCATACTACAAGATCATACAAGATCACGATCAGACAATACCAGACATAGATCATTTTGGATCATATTAAAATTACATGCTGCCGGTTTGTCGTGGCTTGTGTCTCGAGCTGCAAAGCTCTGCAGGGTGCCATTCTCGCTGGGGTTTTCGTGTGCAGCTGCGCATCTTGGTCGGCATTAGACAGGAACAGCACATGGAAACAGCCGGAAACAGCCGGAAACAGCCAATGTTTGAAACAGCTTCTGAGACTGTCACAAGCATTATAACATCTAGCAGAGTCTAACAAACAGCTTAGCTTCTCATTTGGTGATAGCCAAGATCTTGAGCGGCTGCTGCTTTTATTGCTGCTTGGCAAAGCGGTGGCGTTTTGTGAGACTTGGGATCGATAAATCCTGGAACCCAAAAGTGTGAGTCAGACAGAGTCACACAAGCCATGCCAAGTTGTGTAACATTGTGCAACTACCTCTTTGCATCATTTGAAGACACATTTGGCTTGGTTGGACTAAGGTCGATGGAAAATCAAAAAGCCAGACGTTGGAGCCACTGCCTTAGTTGCATTATGAGAGCAAGATGTTCACGGATGTGCTGGGTCATGCTGGGTCATCCGTTGAACCTCCACGCGGTGCCGCTGAACCTAGGCCATCACACTGAAAAGTTCGAAAACCGGCATTAAGCAGGAGCTGAGCTGAGAATGCTGAGATGAGCCGGCGAAACAGACATAAATTGAATATAAATTGTCACTGTGCTATGGCAGAGACGCAAAGATGTAAAGTTCAAGAGAGTCTTCTGGGAAGAAAGAAAGCAAGAACGAGCAAAACACACTCTTTGCACTTCATGTCCTCCGCCCCTGACCCAAGACTGTCTGAAGTAGACTAGGAACTTTCACATTGGCTTTGAGTGTTAATGTTTTCTTCCGTTGAAGAGACACTGTGGACTGTGGACATGACTCGCATCACCAAGCCTGGACCATCGTACCACAGGAGGTGCGCTTCCATGTCTACGAGCGAAAAGGTGGGCCCTGGTGGCAACTGCTGGAGAGAGACGAACATAGACGAACTCATTTGCTCAACGCTTCCGGCTTCCAATAGCTTCCCACATGTGACATGTTGCATCATGTTGCCCTTGCAGCGACTTTATCAGGCACTCAGGACACTCAGGCAGGGCAAGTGAGTCAGGGTGGATGGTAGATTTCGCAGTGTTATGATGTGTTATGCTTCGTTTTATTGTTTTTTTTTATGTTTTTTGAATGATGTGCCACTGATCAGATCTGATCAGTATCCAGGGAACGTTTTCAGAACAAAACCTGACAAGAGTCTCAAGAGTGTCAAGTGAAGCCATTCCGTGTCCTTGGCAAGTGGCGGTTAGTAGGCGGTTAGCCTTCACCAGGTCACAAGGAATTATTCCACTTGATCTTATTCGCCAGCTCCAGAATTCAAACAGACAGCAAAAAGTAAAAATGAATCGAAAAGATGTCAAAAGCATCACTTCTGTTGGATCCTTGTGACGTTCCAAAGTTCCAAAGCCCACTGTATCCACCGTCCAGGCAGTTGGACAAGCAAAGTCCTTGGCGAGCAGGGACTCTGCGGAGAGCCACTTTGGCAAAGACTCGTTCTGCGGGGATGAACTCATCGAGCCATTTCAACTCAATTTCAACTCATTTTCAACACGTTCAACACGCCAAGATGATGCAAGAAATTGAAGCAGTGAGCAGTGTGTATAAAGCAATAAAGCAAAATGATGCAAAAAGATGCAAAAAGTATGTCAAATGATCGCAACATATTGTCAACATATCTCAACTATTCAACCACATTCAACCACAAAGTCAAGTGAATGCGTTTGTCAGTCGACATTGAGCTGAGGCCGAGCAAGTCAAAGTCAAAAGGCGCAGCTGCGAGAAATCTGTTCCGAGAAATGTCTAGAAATGTCAGATCTCAGTAGATCTCTTGGCTCACTTGGCTCACTTCCCAAGTTGTGAAATCTTCTTCAAGCATCTTCAAGCCAGCCCCACCATGGCCATGGCAGAAAACGGTGGTCTCCTGGCAAGTGGATACGCAAAATGCGTCAACGAGGAGCTTGGTGTCCACCGGAAAGGCTGGGACGTCACCATGGAGACATGGATATCTCATGATATCTCATGATGTCTCATGATATCTCAAAATCACTGCCTTGACCTTTTACTTGCGTTATCATTTGTTACAGTATGTGTGGAAATTCCAAAAAGTCAGACATATATTTCATATTTTCCTTTATGTAGGACCTTGACACTAAAACACTGACTGGCTACTAGGTACTGTATTACTGTACATATCTGTACATCTAGGATCATCTAGGTACTGTAGTCTTGTTGCAGAGTCGAAGAGGTATAAGTTATATAAGCGGTAGACGCTAAGCCAAACTGCCCAGCCTCGGCTCATCCAGGTCCTGCTGACTACAGTGGGTGAGGCGTTGCGGCGTTGCACTGCCGTGACACCGTTGCTTTTGTGCGTCAAAACTGTAGTCCACTGCATTTCAATATATTTCAATGAAGGTCCGGAATGTCATTTCTTTGAATTGCTATAGTTGCTATGGACTGCTTGTGACGCATGATGACATTCCAGTCTTTGACGTTCATGAAATTTCATGGACACGTTCCTGTTCATTAGATGATCATTTGACCTGATAGCACATCATTTCCCTTCAGCTTTTCTGCCGCCGCCATATGTCTTCATTTCTTGCTCAAGGTTTCTGCAAAGTCAAAAATTGCAATGTGATCAATGTTTGCGTTTCGATGGTGTGAAGCTCTATGGCCGAAAGCGATCAAAGCTCGAAATTTCGCTTTGAGTGCTACTCAACACGACCTCCCTACTGGTCCTATGATGGAATTCCTTTTGTTAGTGCATACATAGCTGCACTGGCAGTTCTTGTCTCAGTTGCGACAAGCAGAGGTCAACTGATTACAGATCATTTTCTATTGCTCCTGGTGCCTGCAGTGGCTCATTTGCTCCTTTTTCTGGCAACGCAGTGGTCAGTGGAGGTGAATTGCTTTGTTCGCTTTAAACGCGAAGCACATGTAAGCAGGGCATCACATGTGAAAGTGGTGCCACTCGCTGATGACCAAAACCGTCCCAATTCCAAGGTATTGCTGGTGCCTTTGCAGCAGCAGGATGGAGAACCGTCCATATCCTATTTGAAAAAGAAATTCACATTTTGCAAGGAGAATGATACTTTTCAGCGCCTGAGATATGACATAACGTCACCGCTGAGTAACTATTTGAATGCAACCGGGCTCTCCTCTCGAGAAGTTGAGGAGAGAAGAAAGAGATATGGAGAGAACATTTACGACATTCCTCTACCAACATTTGGTGAACTCTTTAAAGAACATGCCGTAGCACCTTTCTTTGTTTTCCAACTCTTTTGTGTTTTGCTATGGCTGATGGATGACTATTGGTATTACTCGTTGCTAACGTTGGTGTTGCTGGTGGTGTTGGAAGCTCAGATGGTGCACCGCCGCCGCAACGATCTGCAAGAGCTGCGGGCGATGCGGATCCCGCCACGGCCAACCTATGTCTTACGGGATGGAAATTGGAAGATCGCGCAGAGCAATGAGCTGCTGCCCGGGGATATCATTGGCATCCAGCGTAACCCAGAAGCATCATTTCCGTGTGATGTGTTGCTCTTGCAAGGTAATGTGCTGGTCAATGAAGCCATGTTGACCGGTGAGAGTGTTCCTCAGATGAAAGTTCATGTGGCATCTGGTGGCTCTGAGCCATTGGACATGATCGGTCGACATCGCCAGCATATCGTTAGTGCTGGGACCAACATTATGATGCATCAAAATCCCCAGAGCAATTCTGAGCGGTCCAAGAACTTCAAAAAAGTGCCACGTGCAGGGTCTTCGAGTGTGGCAGTGGGATATGTCCTACGGACAGGTTTTGACACAACACAAGGAAAACTCTGCAGAACCATTTTATTCAGTGCAGACCGGGTGACAGTGTCCAGTAAAGAGGCATACTATTTCATTTTCATTTTGCTCCTCTTTGCCCTTGTTGCTTGTGGCTACGTGCTATATGATGGCCTGGTGGTTGTCCCAAAGACCGAGACGCCACGATCAACTTTTAAGCTCTTACTGTCGGTGAGTCACATCATCACATCAGTTGTTCCTCCTGAGTTCCCCATCATGTTGTCCTTGGCGGTGAATTTGAGCCTCGTAGCATTGGTGCAAAAAGGAATCTTCTGCACCGAGCCTTTTCGGGTGCCCTTGGCAGGTCAAATTTCGACTTGTTGCTTTGACAAGACGGGCACTTTGACCAGTGATTCCATGGAAGTTGGAGGAGTACATGGGCTTCAATATCCTGCTCCTGCCTCTGAAGCCATGGATGAGAAGGATGCAGAGTCCAGAACCGCATTGGATCAGAAATTGCCATTCTTATCTACAGCTGTGATGACAGCCTGCAATGGCTTGACTCTAGTTGAAGGTGAGATTGTAGGAGATCCTCTGGAGAAAGCTGCTCTACAAGCAGTTCAGTGGATGATGATAGGCCCTGATTTGGTTACTTCCAAGCCTAGCAAAGGTGGAGACCGTCTCCACATTTTGCGAAGATATCCCTTCGCTTCCGAGTTGCAACGCATGGCCGTACTTGCACAGCACCATGGGCCAGGCCTAGGTTACAGGGAGGAGGGCAGCGCAAGCGCAGGACGATATGATCGAGTGCTTGGCTTGGTGAAGGGCTCATGTGATGCCTTGAAGCCAAGATTGCTGGATGCTCCAGAAAACTTGGACGATTTACAGGATCAGCTGACCAAGGTGGGTTTCCGAGTCTTGTGCTTGGCGGCGAAGGAGATGAAAGAGCTGGATGTGGAGGCAACAGAACGTGAGGAAGTGGAATCGTCCTTGCACTTCTGTGGTTTGTTGGTGCTCCGGAATTCTGTGAAACCCAACACTTCCAGCACTATCCGACAGCTGCGCCGAAGTTATCACAGGGTCATCATGATCACAGGAGACCATCCACAGACAGCATGTCAGGTTGCCACCAACGTCCACATGGCAGATGGCAGATTCTTGGTCTTGGAGGCCAATGAAAATGGTCTGGAGTGGAGGTACCCAGACCACCAAATTCATCAAGAAATTCCTTTTCGCAGCGGGTCATCTAGGTCTGGAGCGGCATCCATTTTGGATCTGGCAAGGAGTCACACGCTGTGTGTGCCAGGCGCTGCTTTGGCAAAGCTCAGTAAGTCGGAGGTGGAGGAGGTTGTTGAGGCCACCACCGTCTTCGCCAGAGTTTCACCGCAGCAGAAGGACTGTCAGTAACCGTCAGTAACTCTGTCAGTAACTCTTTCAAGGGTGCTTCAGATCGGTTTGGGATTTTCAGATCGGCTTGATGGTGTGGGGTCATTGAAGGGATACCAGATCAAAGTTAACCTTTCCATGCCTTTCCATGGTTTCAGTTTCACGTGTGTTTTAAGCAATCCAAAGTTCAAGCAGGTGCAACAAGTTTGTGCCTACGGCCTGAAAACCATCTCACGTTTTACTTGTTTTTTGCACTTGCTTCTGCTGCCGTGGGGTGGGTGGGTGGGAAGAGCTGACGACGTTCGCTGTAGCCCGCACACATCCTCATGCTATACAGTATATCTATGTATATCTTCATCATGTTTCTACATCATGCTACTCCTTGATGTTCTCTACATCATGATACGCTGCTTGGTTTTTTCATCATGCTACGCTGCGTGATCTTCTCTACATCAGGCGATGCTGCTTGATGTACTGTACACTGTACATCATGCTACGCAGCATGTAAGTGTCAACCACGGTCGTGCATTAGAAGCACATACTGATACAATGGCATGTGCAACGGTTATGCAGACACATCCCACGGGCATTCAGCGACTGCAGAGGCATGTCAGTGGAGATTTTTCAATATATAGAATAGATATGAATGAATTTCGCTGAAAGAAAATCTTCAAGAAACAAGAAATAGAATCTTGTGAAATCTTGTGAAGAAGAATTGAAAAAGGATAAAAAGGCATCGATGGCACTTCCAGCTGCATTGTGACATTGTGACCGAATGTAATCAGCATTGAATTCAGCACAGGTTTGGACTTGAAAATCACCAAGATCTACAAATTTAGCATGTTTAATCTCAGCAGCGGCGTTTAACTGCATTGTTTGCTTCCCCAACAGTTGCCATGTTTTGGCGTCTCAAAATACAACAGGCTCAACGCTGCTGAGGCAAAGCGGCAATAATTACAGATCCTGGGTAGCATTGACTACAAGAAACACACATCCTATCCGTCAAAAAGTAAAACCCCACACAAAATGCATCTTCAAATCCACTTGGACAAAAAGAGGGTGAAAAAATCTAGAACGGTTCCCAGGCCAACGGAAAAGTGTGTGATGCAGGAGCAGATCATATTGGCCTTGAACCAGCGCTCACATACTGTGATGGTGGGCGATGGAACCAATGATGTTGGTGCACTGAAACATGCTCACGTTGGTATTTCCTTGATGACCACATCGATCGCACCCAAAGCCCCCAAGACACCCAAGACACCCAGTGAGATGGTGGCAGACAATGGGCAGGCTCCATTGGTTCGCTTGGGGGATGCCAGCATAGCTAGTCCTTTCACCTACAAAGGCGACTCCATCAGGTGCTCGATTCAAGTTCTTCGTTGCGGAAGAGCAACACTATGCTCAGCGCCTCGTAGACGTCAACGAATTCCTTTTCTGATTCCAAGGTTATCAGAAGAATGAAATGAGGGAAAAGGTTTAAAGGCATGACAATTTCTAAGCATCATCTCCAGAACTACGGTGTGATTATTGCAGCGTGCAGCATATCGCGAGCTGGGTTAAACTTTTGGGTATTGAACATCGCTCACAAGTATCTGGTATGAAAGCTGGTTATGTGAAGGCTATTTGTTTGACTTCCGGATGGTTTTTCCTAGAGGGTTTGTTTGTTTCACAGATTGAAATCGGAGATATTCCGACCCAGGTGATGATGATGTACAAAATTATGGGGCTCAACAGTGTGATGTCGGCCTTTGCGATGTCTGCCTTGACTTTGGACGGCGTGAAACTTGGCGATGGCCAGACCGCAATCGAGTCCTTGCTCCTTTGCCAAATGAGATCAAATGCTTTGCAAATATGTGCAAATCATATTTCGTTTGTGTTTTGCTACAACGTTGTGCAAGGTTTCAGCCGGCTGTTGTTGCTTACTTATTAGCACGTTTCAAAGGAGTTAAATCACTAATCTTATAGCACCTGCTGCTTTCTTGTATACGTTCTACTCGAGGCATAATTTGCCCTCTTAAATTTGACTTCCAACAGCGCAATGACACGGTCACCAACTTTGACCAAACCACAGTCTTGGACTGGGTTCTGTCTCAAAGACTGAAGGAGCAGCATTCTCATTAACAGATTTGGTGGCTGCGCTAGCCGGCAAGGCCCCTTGCACCCCAATATCCATCTTGACTTCAGGATATTGGATAATTTAGTGTCCAATGTTGACAAAGCTTATTTCCTAGATTTGAATACGTGTCTCAATTAACTAAACACCTGTCCATGCATATGTGCCGCTGGCCCCAGAAGTTCAAGCTGTACTGTAGGTGCAGAGAATAAGACGACAACACCTGTTTTTCAATTAGGCCGAAACAATGCAAGACAGGCGATGCCAAAACAAGGACCGGATAGCCCCACATATTAAGCCTTTTTGTAGGTAATAGGAGAAGGAGGGTTGGGTACAGATATGGGCTCTGTCAGACATAGATGACAGAAAAAAAGACAAGCAAGTTGGACGGAGGGAAGTTGGATAGCTGTAAGTTTGATAGAGGTGAGTTGGATAGATAAGTTGACAGTGGTAAGTTTGATAGAACTTTGTTTGATTCGTAAAGATAAGTTTCATTCATAGAGGTACGCTTGATAGAATTTGGATGAATTTGGTTTGATAGGGAGAAGGTTGATAGGGGTAAATGTTAATGAATGAAAGATAGCGATTCTGGAGTGAACATCACAGCATGAATCGAAGAAAGGTTGAGGCATCAAAAAAGAAGCCTGTCTCTGGCATGTTTCCAGGTCGGGCTTATGATTGAAGTTTCTGTTATGTTTGTTAATCATTGATTGCAGACATTCTCAGAACTTACCTTTGTGTACCCCTTTAAGAAAACAGAGGGACAGGTGCAACATCCAGCAGTACAGGAAGTCAACGCGCGGGATCAAGAAAACCACACACTGCTGAAGAACCTCAATACCGCCAATGAGTTTCAAGCGATCCCAAATGGTGATAAAATGACGAAATTTGCAGACTTGAGAACAAACAATTGGTGTGGTTGAAAAGAAGATGACAATATGAATAAAAAATAATAAAAATAGTCTTCTTGATTTACACATATCTGTTACATATTGTGATTGTGCGAATGACCGGAACATTTTTACGAAAGCCAGCTGGAGGCAGTGGCTGAAGTGTCTATTGCGAAGGTAGTGAGAGTACAGGGTGTCCAGGGGTAGCGGCTTCCCAAAGGCACACGAAACTCTAAATTAGGTGGTGTTCCGGGTGGCCTGGAAGGGTGTTTTGCCGGGTGATGTACCGTGTCGCAATTTGGGGATGCTGGGCGTTTGGTTCCCCCCTGGTTCGTCCTGCTGCCGGGTTGTTGTTGCCTTTTTTCAGGACCCCTTCCTGTTCTGACCACTCAGTTTGCCCGACGGAAGCAAAGCCACGATACAACTATGTTGGCCTTTTCGTGGTTATATCCTTTGTGCTTAGCACCAATCAAATTTGCTGCCTTGTTGTTGACTCCTGACATTTAGCATGTTGCATTGGCCTATCCTGGTTATATCCTTTTTGCAGAGCACCCTTGCGGGGAAAGGTAGAGGCATGTTTTCGCATACGGCTTTTTGAGTGTCAGCAGAATCTTTCTCCTGTAAAGTCGTGATGCGCAACCACTAAGAGCTGGAAATTTGTAGAATAGTGAGACAGCACGTTTGAAAGTGGAACTGAGAAGAGTAGTAGGAGGGCTGGAAGATTTGAGACCTAGAATTGATGGAGAAATTTTGGAGACGAGACTCGCTGCAAAGCAGAAGGAGCAGAAGAAAAGTTGGGAAAATGATAGAAGAGAAAGAGGGTGCGAGGGGACCATACAGGGCTTGCACGGCTAGCAGCCGGGTATGTTATTTTTTCCCCAACAGCGTAAGCTTGGGGTCTTCAGCCATAGTAAAGGTTCCGGAGCAGGTCGGAGCAGCCAAATCCGCTGGGAACCGGGTTCCCAGGAAGGTTCCCAGGAAGAGCTTCCTTTTCCAAGAGAATCCCTCGGAGCAGCCAGATCCGCACGGCGCGAGGTTGGGAACGGGTTGGGAGGAAGAGGTTCCCAAGCAAGGTTGCCAGGAAGAGGTTCCCAAGCAAGGTTTCCAAGCAAGGTTCCCAGGAACAGGTTCCCAAGAGGTTCCAAGGAACAGGTTCCCAAGCAAGGGTTCCCAGCAAGAGGTTTTCAAGCAAGGTTCCCAGGTTCCCAAGCAAGGTTCCCATGGAAGAGGTTCCCAGCAAGGTTCCCAGCAAGAAATAAGGAAGGTTCCCAGGCAAGGTTAGCAGGAACAGATTCCCAAGCAAGGGTTCCCAGCAAGAGGGTCCCAAGCAGGGTTCCCAGGAAGAGGTTACCAAGAGAGGAAGAGGTTCCCAGGCAAGGTTCCCAAGAGGTTCCAAGCAAGGCTCCCAGGAACAGGTTCCCAAGCAAGGGTTTCCAGGCAAGGGTTCCCAGCAAGAGATTCCCAAGCAAGGGCTCCTTCCAAGCAAGGTTCTCAGGAAGAGGTTCCCAGGTTTTGCAAGCACGCGTTTCGGAAACCGTTTTAAAGGTTTCCGGAACCGTTTCCCAAGCAAGATTTCCAGGACCATGTTTTTCCAAGCAAAACAAGGTTCCCAGAACAGGTTTTCAAACAAGTGTTTCCGGGAAGAGGTTTCCAGGAAGAGGTGCCCAGGTTCCCAGCAAGCTGGTTCCCAAGCAATGTTTTCAGGAAGAAGTTCCCAAGCAAGGTTCCCAGCCACAGGTTCCCAGGAACAGGTGCCCGTACAAGGTTCCAAGAACAGGTTCACAAATAAGGTTCCCAATCGCGTTCCCAAGCAAGGTTCCCGGGAAGAGGTTCCCAAGCAAGGATTCCCAGGAACAGGTTTTGCAAGCACGCGTTTCGGGAATCGTTCTGAAGGTTTCAGGAGCCGTTTCCCAAGCAAGATTTCCGGGACCATGTTTTTCCAAGCAAAACAAGGTTCCCAGAACAGGTTTTCAAACAAGTGTTTCCGGGAAGAGGTTTCCAGGAAGAGGTGCCCAAGCAAGGTTCCCAGCAAGCTGGTTCCCAAGCAATGTTTTCAGGAAGAAGTTCCCAAGCAAGGTTCCCAGCCACAGGTTCCCAGGAACAGGTGCCCGTACAAGGTTCCCAAGAACAGGTTCACAAATAAGGTTCCCAATCGCCTTCCCAAGCAAGGTTCCCGGGAAGAGGTTCCCAAGCAAGGTGCCCAGGAACAGGTTCCCAAACAAGTTTTCCAAGAACAGGTTCACAAGTAAGGTTCCCAGAAAAAGTTCCCAAGCAATGTTTCCAGGAAAAGGTTCTCAAGCAAAGTTCCCAGGAAGAAGTTCGCAAGCAAGGGTTCCCAGTTGCTCCTGGAAATTATGCTTTGGAACCAGCATGAACCAGCTCTTCCTGGGAACGCTTGCTTGAGAACCTGTTCCTGCGAGCATGGTTCCTGCTTGGAACCTTGCTTGGAAACGGTTCCTGGGACCTTGCTTGGGAACCGTTTTTTGGGAACCGTACTTGCAAGCGGCTCCTAAGACTTAACCTTGCTTGGGAACCTCTTCCTTCATACCTGCTTGGGAGCCTCTTCCCGGGAACTTGCTTGGGAACGTTTTTCCCAACAGCATAAGTTGGGGTCTTCAGCCACCCAAAGAACAAGATTTCCATTCATATTTTCCAGGACCAGGTTCGCAAGCAAGGTTGCCAGGAACGATCCCCAAGCCAGGTTCCCAAGAACAGATTCCCAGGCAACGTTCCCAAGCAAGGGTTCCAGAAACAGTTGCCAAGCAAGGGTTCCCAGGAACAGGTTCCCAAGCAAGGTTCCCAGGAACAGATTTCCAAGAAAAGGTTGCAAAACAAGTTTCCAGGAATAGGTTCGCAAGCAAGGGTTTCCAGGCAAGGTTCCTTTTAACAAGTTTCCAACCAAGGTTCGCAAGACCAGGTTCCCAAGCAAGGTTCGCAAGAACAGGTTCACAAGCAAGGGTTCCAAGAACAGTGCCTCAAGTTCCTAAGCAAGGGTTCCAAGAACAGGTCTCCTTGCAGGGTAGCAAGGTTACCACGCAAGGTCCTTGGGAACAGGTTCCCAAGCAAGGTTTCCACGAACGGGTCCCCAAGCAAGGTTCCCAAGGACAGGTTTGCAAGCAAGCTTCGCAAGAACAGGTTCCCAAGAACAGGTTCAGGTTCCAAGAGCAAATTCTCTAGGAAGGTTCCGAGCAATAGGTTGCCAGCACGGTTCCCACGAACACGTTCCCAAGCATGGTTTCAGGTTGCTCATGTTCCCAGGAACAGCTTTCCAAGAGCAACTTGCACAGCGAAATTTCGAAGAACATCTGCAAGCAAGGTTGGAAGCAAGAACAGAATCCCAAGCAAGGTTCCGAAGGACGGGTTCCTAAACAAGGTTCCCAAGCAAAGTTGCGAAAAACAGGTTCCCGAGCAAGGTCCCAATGAACAGGCTTGAAGCAGGCAGGCAAAGTTTCCAAGAACAGGTTCCCAAGAGAGAGCTCCCAAGAAGAGGTTGCCAGGCAATGCTCCCAAGAGCAGGTTCCTAAGAATAGGCTCCCAAGAACAGGTTCCCAAGCAAGGCTCCCAAGAACAGGTTCCCAAGCAAGGTTCCGATACACAAGTGTCAAGCAACGTGTCCAAGAACATTTGCCCAGGCAAGATAACGGAACGGAGATATTGAAGAACTAGTTTTGCTTCAAAAAATGATACGGCACTCGCACGTGGATAAAAACATTAGACGACAGCGTGGCATGAAAGAAAGCAGGAGGGAGGAGACGAGAAAATAATTAATACACAAGATTAATGGTGATGGTGATGATGATGACGACAATGAT